GCTTTTTCAATTCAAAATGTCAGAAATAGCGTTGAGTTCCAGGCTATATACAGTAGCAAAACAAAGGCTTTAACTTGCTACTGTATAAAGCCTCAAACTCATTAAAGCATTTAGTGATTTATTGAAATTAAAGGTGTCTAAAAAGTAACAATATCAACTTTATAACTCTGTAAAGAGAATTTTATTTTAGGTTATGCGATAAAAAAATATTTTTAGTCTAAATTTATTTGGTCCAGCAGGCAAAGTCTTATTATTACTGGGGAAAAGTATTTGCACATTTACATATTTTTCTTCTTTGTCCTATTCGTGTTTCAGAAAAGAAATTAACAGAGAAGTTAATATATAAAGGAAGATAACCGTAGTAAATCAGAAGAGCATTTCTCAGATGATGATTTCATTTACTTGACGAAAACAGATGGTCCTATATAATAATGACCCTCTTCCCTTGTTAAATCAGATTATTTGATTGATTATTTGTGATTAACCACACAAGCTAAAGCTCTTTTCGCTAGCCTCATCCGAGCCTTATTACCCCCAGACCTGCAGAATATGAAAAAATAAATCATTTAAATGGCACCTGCTTGATGTGAGGTAGGGTTTTCTCAAAAAGCGAAACACCATGTTCCAATCTAAATGAACTCAACAAGAGATAAGATTTGTCTTCATTTTATTTAGTTTTTGAACAACATACAGATCATCTGTATTAAGAAATGGAAATGTCTTAAGAGGTGTATACAAAATGACAAAGTTTATCTCTGTCCAAGTTTTTTACATCGAACCTGCTGCACGCTTCATTTGGCAGTTAAGCTTTTTATTCATAGTTCAACAATGAGAAAAAAGACACTAACGAATTTAGCAAATTTCATGTCTTTCTGAAAATTCACATTTTGAATTAAAAAAGCTTCCTGGATGGGAAGTGAAACGTCTTCAAACCTGGAAACCGAGTCCAGTGGATTATTTCTAATTTTCTTCTTTTTTTTCTTCGAATGTCTTTCAACATTTTTGACTGGTGTTAATTTGCTTCACTGGTAAAACAATCTAGAAATAAGTAAGAACTTTCTTAAATTAAGTGTATTTACCCTTAATTTGAGCAGGTAATTGAGATAGTTTGCCAGTGGAATGAGTATTTCTACTCTTAAAATTAGGGATGCACAATATTGAGATTTTGGCCGATATCCGATATGGCGATATTTTAAAACTCATGTAGCCGATAACCGATATCGATACCGATGTTAAAGCTGGACAAAAATAAGTAGTCATTGAAAATAGCAG